TTTCCTCAGCTTCGAAAAAAGAATGATCTATAGATTCATTCATCTTAGAAAATACCGTGTAAAAATTCGATCAAAAGCATCAAAAGAGATTTCTCATTATCATTTTCGAGAAATTCTTAGTAGAAAAGAAATCAATAATTTAATTTAAATTTGAAATGATAAAAATTGCTTAGCTCATTCGGTTTTGAATGCTGTAGAAAGTATTTTGTGTTCAAGCGATTTGAAAAGCTTACATGATGTCAAAAGTCTTTTTAAAACAATTGCAAAGATCAGAATTTTACAAATCGATTACGAATCACGGTACATATTACATATTCATCTTTTCACAGGAGAGCAAACTAACTTAGTAATTTTCAAGACTGAACAATCTGAATTTCGTGGGTTGACCTAGCATTTAGCATTAGCATGCTTTAGCTGTAGCATTTAGGTGGATAATCAAAGAAATCTTCAGATACGTAAACTTGAATTTTATACCAGGCCTTAAAAATCGTAATGTGAAGGCCGGCCATAAAACTACCGTCAGGACCGTCTCCTCAGGTAGCTGACCTCATTTTTTAAACGGCCGGGCTCCAGCCATAAATAGAAGTCCATTACTCAAAGGCAGTGAAATCACGATTAACAATTGATCTAAAGCATCATTAGAACATTGTTGTACAACTTTATTCTTATTTTTTATAATTATATATTTTCCTTGTACGACATAAACATATATAATTTAAAAAAATCTGTCATATCTTATTTTGTTGTACCGAATTTGACCTTTTTGTTAAGCGATAGTGTGCGAGCTTGAAAAATGTTGCCCATTAACTATTTATACCTTAAAAGAATTGTTAGTATCTTTTATTATGCAATTATCTAAGACTCTTCCAGCTCCGACAATAATAAATTTACCAAAGCCCAAAGCAGTACTAATAAGAAAATACAGCATAATTATAATAGTTTACGGACAAACATTCATTATGTGTTAAACAATAACGAAAGTTGCTCAGAAAGCATTCAGTCGTGATTCACTGTTGGTGCATTCTTCCAAGGTGTAATGTGTCTGACCTTGGAAGTGCTGACGTCGTTTGTCAAGGAAATACGCAACAATGCTGTAGATCAGAGAATCATTTTTTTTGGCAACTTTTTACTGCATTGGATTTTGTAGCGTTATATTAATCACACTATTACAAGAGCAGAATCATTTTTAACAAACATGATATATCTATAAATATTTGTAAATAAAGGGCAAATAAGCAATAAGTTGAGAGCACAATGTTAAGAGTTACCTTAACATAGTTCCAAATCAGCTCTATGGATCACGATGCAAAAGATAGAAAGATTTTGTTATAAAACAAACAAACAAACAAAAGTCTTGAATGTTCTTAAGGCTTTCCTCAGTCGAAAGGAGCGTGAAGATATTTCTTCAATAAACAAATATCTCGATTCTTTAAAACAATTTATTTTCTTTCAGTTTTCTACAGACATGTATCAAATACATTCAACTGGAGTTTAGTATCGAGCTTCGTAATTTGTATCTCCGCTATTTAAACTTAACCTTATAACCTACTGATATTCATGCTTGGTATACAAAACATACAATTCAGATATTCTAATAACCTTTCACAAGCTATAAATATAATATCTGAATACCTGTCGTAAACCATTGCTAGCTCAGCCAAATCAAGACTAACATCAATATATTTCTTTCACCTCTAGCCACCCATGGAACTTTTTAGAATACATCAAAACACTTTCAATTATCAAGTAATAACTTGGTAAATAATTTACTGATAATTATAGTTTTTAAAATATCATTGACTATCACATAAACGGAACAAAAATATGACAAGGGAAATGAAGTAAAAAGAGGAGTGAATGTACATTTAAAGGAATTATGAAGATCGTGATGAAAATGAATAATAGGTTGCACGATGTTCGTTTGAGAACGTGCGGAAACTCAGGCATGCTTAGTGTTCCTTGAGCAAGCGTTCGCAGAAACGCCACTAGGGTTCTCCAGCGCGGGGCTCGCGGTTAGAAAGATACAAGCGGGTAAAGATCGCTACTTGTTTGCACAGCCTGTTCTCTTTTATCGTTAAGCGCTGTCAAATGCAGACTTCGGTCAGAAGTGCTGCTAAAGACACTCGGGAAGCCTCAGATCAAATTTATATACGGGGATATTTTTAAAAAAAAGTTCGCTAATATTGATTACCACTGCCCCATTGTAACCATTTGTATCCTAAACATCTCACTGAAATTAAAGTTCACTTCGACACCCCTTTCGAGTTAAAGAAATCCAGCTAATATGTTTGTTGAATGTTCAGTAATTTGATTAATGTAAACATTCATTTATTATGACGTTAGTGTACATTACCAACTTTTATTATAGATGTGAATTTTATATACCATTTTAAAATAACATTGTGCGACATCGTATTTCAAACCCCGCAGGTTCACTGATAAGAGATGCCCTTTTGAAAGTGAAAGTATGTTTCGAATGGACTCTTTTACATCAAGCACAGATTGTCAAGAGTCAGAAAAGGATTCATTGATTAACATTTATTGTCGCTTCGCACTGTGGTAATTAACATTAACGCATTACGCTATTCCTTGATCAGTAGAGAAGTTCTAAATTTCATTCCGGAATTGCCTTCTTTCCTAAGTTATTTCGTTTGCCAGAGGCGGAAATGCCCTGGCACCTACTTGATGATGCACTCAACCATCGACTACGGAGCGAAACGTTAGCTCAGCACAACTCAGCAGAATGATTCAGTGTTGTCGAATGTTTGTCCGATACGTCATTCCTTGCGTCTGGGTCACCCAACCACGAGTGACGTATCAAAGTTCCACCTTCTATTAGTTGTGGTTTCCCTTTAAGTGACCGAGTAGTCTACGCCAGATTGTCGTCAAATTTAATAGGTCTCCATTCGAATATCTATATTATTAATTTCCCAAGTGCGCTGAAATTGAAAGAAAAACTATGCAGCCTCCTGCCATGTCTAGGTTTTGTTAAAAACTCAGGAACTCAGAAAAAAATTAAAAACAATAAAACATTTTCAACTTTGAGAGAAAAACGCAAATATGCGTATTTACGGAAATATACGCATGTACTGAATAGTATTAGGAAGTACTAGCTGAAAAGAAAATATAAAAGCTGTTAAGAATGAAATGCTAACATTTCTAAAATATGAGGATTAATTGAGATTTTGGAAAAAGATCTTTATTTTGTATTTGTACGTGGTAATTCTATTCTATAAATACAGTGGCTCATTCACTCGGTTTCAATTGGTTTTAATTCAGCATTTTAATTCAGTATTTCAATTGAATAAGACACAAATAACTATTAATCAAGAAATAAAAATTAATTTTAAATGGTCAAATTAATAATAAAATAATAGCATAAATAAGCATAAATAAACAAATCTTTATAAGCAATAATCAAGACTGCTGGACATAACGCCTAAAGCCCCTCCCCAAAACAAAAATCCTCGTTGTACCGCAATGTAAATATAAATATTTTTTAGCAGTGATATCTAAACAAATGTTGAATACTGCAATTGCCTTTTTATGTTTTCGGACGAATTTTAATTAAAGGTAAATAGAAATGTAATGCAATTACATTCAAATTAATCGAATAAAATTAAAGTAATTAGATTGATTTACGCATACACTGAATCACACATTCTATGGAGCTGAATTTATTTCTGTTAAGATTCGATTAAGGCGTAATAATGAATTACTCAGCGAGAGAGATTTATCTTCGTCCGTAAGTGTAAGTACAAATGTGGTGCTGATGTGAGGATGAATGCACTAACAGTTCTTCGGTCCAAGTGCAACGCGGCTTTTCCCATCTACTTCCATTCTGCAGAACGGAGATGTAGTCGTTACCGCCGCATGCGTAGATGACGTAATGGCTGTGGACAGACTACCTTCTGGGCCAGAAGCCGGCACACGGGGTTAGCAGCCAATTTTGATGAGCTCAGTAATATCTAGCACAGTTGGAATAAATCAAACTTTGACTTTTGAATTATACGGAAACGTAAGGACTAACCAGGTGGGAGTTTACACGTTCAATCCAACGCGAGCTTTGTAGTAAAAAAAAAAAAATTTCGTAATTAACAATTTCGCAAACATATCAATTTCTTTTGCTTGGTAAATTATTATTAAAATATGTTTTCCTATTGTAATCAGAGGCGCACCCAGGATTTCTGTATGTGTGTGTGTGTGTGTGTGTGTGTGTGGGGGGGGTAGTGTGTACACGTAGTGTTCCGATTTCATGTTTTCTTATAAATAATTTTTCGTTTATGCTGAATATAAAATGATTTTTTATTTGTTTTTTAACTTATACTCATTAATATTTATAACGTAAACAATGATATATTGAATGGATTTCGTTAGCATAGACAATTCGTAAAAGTTATATTTTTATTTTTAATAATTATGTATCATGGGCTTCTGCGGGGGGCGGAAGACTCTTCGAGCCGTCCCTCTTGGGTGCGCTAATTATTGTAATAGAATATTTCTAATAATGGCATCTGTTTTCCCCTGGCCCAAAAGGAACGTCTGAAATAGAGAGCAATAATATTGAGAAGGGGAAAACATGACAGATGAACGATTCAACATGAAGATAAAGATCCAAAATGGGAGAAAACAAGCCAACAATGTTGAAAAGAACAGTCGAATGGTGGAGCAGACCTCGACGTAGAGTTAAAGCGACTCAAGAAAAATATGATATATTTACTTCTTTTTCGCTCAGTTGAGCCCATGTCTGTTGCTGATCCCAATTCCTAATAAACCCTTCGCTGGCAGCTACTAGTAGCTGGTAGCGTCTAACAAAATCCGCTTTCAAACGTCCCGCGCCTCCCTTCTCCCGGGCGCTAGATATCGCTGCATCCTGTTTGTGTACGTCCTCCCTTCTCCTCGCGTCCCCCTTCGTCCTGGTGCGGGGTCGCTGGGGCAAGGGGAGGGGAGAGGGCGTGACCGTCCCGCCGTCGCCCTCTCGCCCACCCGTCCACGAGACGTTACGTCACCCTCCACGGCGGCGGCGAGACCCCGTTCCCCGCACAGCGCCAGAGGCAGGCAAACGTGCGCGCGCGAGTGTGTGAGTGAGTGCGGGAGTGGAGCGGAGCGCTAGCGAGCGGCAGCGGCAGGTTGCGCTGGAAGAGGAGAAGGCGGCGGCGCGGCGCCGTCGTCAGTGGCAGTAGCGGCAGTGCGGCGCGCGGCACGCACCCAGCGGCTCCGCAATGACGTCGGAAACGGCTGACGAGAACCGCGTTCGATACCGCCGCGCGCAGAGCGTGACGAGGGCGGAGGAGATCCAGGAGGAGGAGGCGCGAGTGCGGAAGCAGCAACCTGACAAGCCGTAAGTGCCAGGGTGACGGGCTCGCAGGTGGACGGGCAATGGGGGCGGCGGGCGGGAAGTCGAAAGAAGGCGCAGTGCACGTGCAATCGTTGCAGTTTTCTCGCGACCTGGCGGTTGCGTGTAAATCAGCGTTAAACGACACGCCGTACGGCGACTGCGCCGTTGAGCTCTTGGGCAAGCCGTGGGCGATGCAGTGGGTTGCGAGTTTTCACTCGTTGAACCCGTGTGCGTGTATGTGGACGAGCGTTCCGGGGTCAAAGTTGAAGGTGACAAGGGGTGTATTTTTTTGTAATTAAACATTTATTTTGAAAGTGCATCGATGTCTAATTTCGTTGATGGGGTGCGTATGTTCGATTAAACTGGGGTAGAAAAGTTGTCTGTCATGTTGAAGGCAATCCACTTGAGAGAGAAAGTGTTATTTTACGATAGGTGTCAAGGTTTACCTCGTAAAATGGCAAAAAGTTGTCAAGTAGCAAGGAGTTGCGTAAGATTTTTTTTCCTTGTTGTTGTAAGATATCCAAGCACTTCACATTTTTTGACGTTATACACACGTTTCCTTATTAGTGTATTATTATTTTTCAGATGTCACCGGCCCAGAGATTCCTTATTTTCATGGTCATCGGGGTTCACGAATTTTGCTGGCCTTGTGAACTGGGGCTTCCTCCTCCTAAGTATGGGAGGAATTCGGCTCCTCCTCGAAAATTTTATCAAGTATGTACAATATCTATTGCATGTTAAATAAGTCCTACTTCAAAGGGGGGGAAATGATATAGAAATTATTTTGATTGACCAAACTGTTGATATCCTTCTCATTTTTCCTTGCTTCTCAATCAAGGCAGGATGGTGACAGGTAAAAATTCATACATAATATAAGAAATTTGCTGTGTTCATTAATTTATATCCCACTGACACCAGAAACACTTATATAAATTTCTTGTAGATATGGTTGGCGTGTGGATCCTGAGCAGTGGATAATAGTATTCACAGGCAGACAAGAAGGAGATGGAGAATATCCTTCAATTATTTTGCTCATGTGTAAGTTGTATTTACAAACATATAAAAATATCTTTCATACATTTCTTGAAAAAAGATTCCTTCAAATTTATATTCATTTTTTAAAATGAAGTGAATTAAACATTCTAAATACCTATCTAGATTACTTGAATATGTATTTATAAGAAGACAGCTCTAGATATTTATGAATTTTATAACTATAAAAAGGAATTTCAGAATTGTTAATTTAACGATAAAATGAATAAATGAAAATATAAAAATATTGACTTGTTTCAGCTAACTAAATCATTGGAATATTTTTTCCAGATTCTGTTGTACCTATTGTTCTTTGCCTTCTGGTAGAAAAGGGCTTGGCAGTGGTAAGTAAAATTCAGATCATTTTCTGGAAGATTCTTTAATCAAAACAAATACTACCTCTCGTTCACTTTCGTTCACAACATTGTGATAAATGTTTCACCTTTTGTTCACCTTGTTTTAGATTTGTTTAGTTTGTATTATTCAATTTTTGTACTTATTAAATAACCCTTCAACAAGGTTATGTTCTTATTCTTTGTTACAGGAAATAATTGGAAATAAATTGGGAATGATAGCACATATTGCTAATATTATTGTACTAGTTATGATACCGATGGTAACGATAAATGTAAAATCTGCAGGTTTTAGTTTAAGTAAGTGTCTGTTTCTTCTCTACAAAATTAACTTTCTTTTCTCCATTTTTCTACTACATATTTCTCTATTCACAGTTGGTGCGACTGCTGTATGTATGGTCTACTCAGTATTATTTCTGAAGTTGTGGTCTTATGTGCAAGTAAATTTATGGTGCCGACAAGCTCGAGCTAGTCATAATTTTCAACAAATGAGAAGGCAAAGAATCTCCTTCCATACTTTCAGAGAGCATGGTGAGTAGCTCACTTGCTAAGTTACTGATATTATTTAATGTTCTTAAATGGAAAATTACTGTAATTTTTTATACAAACTTTCCAACATGCTGTTATGAAGAACAATAACTACCTAACGGCATAAAATAATGTAAAAAATACTATTATTATGAAAGACACATTTCACTGTTGCAGCTTCAGTTGATGATAGTGTGAGTAATGGTCATCTGAGGAGGGAGGAGGAAGAAGAATCAATTAATCACAAATTAGTTCATTATCCTGATAATCTCCATATGCAAGATATATTTTACTTTATGTTAGCTCCAACTCTCTGTTATGAATTGAATTTTCCAAGATCAGAAAGAATTCGAAAAAGGTAATTTTGAAGGTCTGAAAATGTATATTAAGAGGACTGTTTGAAGGATCTAAGAGAATGCTAATGTTTCTTTTCATGAAGAATTATCAATAAAAATGCAATGACTCTTAGAATAATACTAATAAGTATTGTAAAAGAGTTCTAAAGTAATGTAAATAATGAATATGTAAAGAGTTTTTATTAAGTGGATTGTAGGAAAAAATGAGGGACAATTTTACTTCTTAAGATTTAATTATTGTATTTTTGTTGATGATTCTCTGAAGCAGTGGCGTAGCACTCAGGCCCACAATGCAGGATGGCCCAGGTAAAAGAAGGCCTTCTCTTATGCCGAGGTTTTGCGATTGTAAAATATATTAATTACTTGATAGTTTCTCTAATACTTTGCGATAGTTCATACAATAAAAGATTAAAAATGGCATCTTCCAGAAGACTCTTCTTTTTGCATCCATAGCTTATGTAACCCCGTTTATAAATCAATGAAGGTAACCATTTAATTTTGTTTTTGTAACAGTCTTAATTTCATAAAATGAAATCGTAAAGGCAGATTTTTCACTAATGGCTATTAATCATAGACAGATGAATACAATTTGTCAAAAGAAATTTTTATAATTTAAGGTACTAATGCTACACGTGTTTGCTATACACTTATATAAAGTGGGTTAAATTTCTATGGGTGAGCCAGCACTTCTTTTGTTACGCTACTGCTCTGAAGAAAACAAATGTCTGTCCATTTATCGACTATGTTATTCATGTTCTGTGCATTTAAACAATTCTTTATGTTCATGATTCAGAGTACGGGCTTATAAGTGAAATATTTGTAATGGTTTCTTTGTAATCTTTTCCAATTACAGATTCCTGATGAGACGCATGCTGGAAGTGGTGGTTGGTTTTCAAGTTATTCTGTGTTTATTTCAGCAATGGATTATTCCATCTGTAAAGAATTCACTTATTCCATTCTCAGTAAGTCAACTCTTTGATTGTTTCAATATTTCATATAGTGGTTCATATTTAATATCAATTATGTTTATCAATTACAGAACATGGATGTTGCAAAAGCAACAGAACGACTTCTAAAGTTGGCTGTGAGTATTAATACCTATCATTTTCATTTTGTATGTTCCTTATTTTAGTTTTAACAAATCAAAAATTTTTGAGTGTTTCTTTAAAATATTTTGTATCTAAATGTTACAAATTCAATAAAATCATTTTTTCTACTGCAAATTTCCAAATGCAAATTACTTAAATTTGTATCTAATTAGTACTGTATTTTAAAGTATTAGAATAAAATGAATGTACACAAACTTAATTCTATAGGAATTTTACAAATAGTGTATCCAAAAAGAGTTTCCAGAAATCTTTTGCAAGACTGTGGTTTGTATATTATTTCCTTTGCACAGAAGTTATGTGATTAAATTTTTTCAGATCCCCAACCATCTTGTCTGGTTAATATTTTTTTACTTGATGTTCCATTCATTCTTCAATTTGGTGGGAGAGTTACTTCATTTTGCTGACAGAAATTTCTATCTTGATTGGTGGAATGCCAATAATATTGACACGTTTTGGAGAACATGGAATATGCCTGTCCATAAGTGGGCAGTCAGGTATATTAAATTTTTTATTTGTAGCTTTTGTGTTAATTTGACCATTTTGATACTTCTTAAAATATATGATAAAATTCATTGTGAGATATGAGTTGACTGATAAGGATTATTTGATACTAACTTAAGAAACCTGACATTGCTTGTACATTCATTTATCACAATCGCATATTACATACTTGGCTTACATTGCCTGGGTTTTGGATAATGGTGCTTCATGCTAACACCAATAACTTCACTTTCTTAGTTTGTTTCAGTGAAAAACCACAAAATATAATCAAATTTATAATCTTTATTGGAGAAATATTTTAATCTGTTAATATCAAATTGAAGTGTTTTGCATTGCTTTAGCATTAGTTTTTTCATGCTCTTTATAGCATTTCCATCTATTACGCCCTGTGGCCAACTTTTATCTATTCTAGGGTGTGCTTCTCGCTCCACTAAGCCATTGTTCTGCATTCCCTTTTCCTGCCCCAAAACACCTGGTCACTTGCTCTCAATGTTTAATAAATTGGAATCTTACACTAAAACTAAAATTAAAATAACCTTTACTTTGAGCCTATGCTGTTTGTGGTAGTTCATAGTACAACCATAGTACAAAAACTCCTACAAAAATCTTCCACTCCGATGTTTTGGGTTCAACAGAAGTAATCACAAGTTCTTGATTCGTGACTTTTTCCGTTAATTTCATACTTCTTGTACATTTAATACATTCGCACATGTATTCAGTTAAGGTAATTTTCAACTTGCCATCATAAATATCATTTAAGTGAAGAAAAACTGGCAAAGTTTATAGTTCCCAATTACAATTTGTTTACATTATGCAGTTGAATGTAAAATACACAACCACTCATCGGGGTCTCATTCATTTTTGTTCTAAATAGTTGGTTTGATATCGTACATTGTAATAGACTTAATTAATTAGTTATTGTATTGCATGTTATTCTTCTACTTATACACATTACACATACAACAAGTACTTCTACACATACATATATGTAGGATGTTACAGCTCTGCTCCTTGTTTACTTTATTGATATTTTAATTGTAACAATGTGTTAAGTACCATAGTTAGGTTACATGTAATCCAAGATGCATTTGTAATTTTTTTTGTTATAAAAAACACATTTTGGAGTAATATTTTGAATTGCAACGTAGCTCTGTTTAATTCCAGTTTGCCGAAAGTATTAGTGTTAAATATGGGAGCAATAACTCAAGTGATTTTCTGTTTTTTTTTCTGGCCCATGGGGGTTGTTAAGCTTCACATATAATTAATTAGAAATGCATAATAAAATTAGTAAAGGGTTAGTTTCTTCTGTTAATAATTTTGCTACTTATTCTCAGGCATTTGTACATTCCATTAGTGGAAGCTGGTTATGGAAAAACTGCAGCTGGTATTGTAGTATTCTTCATCAGTGCATTTTTCCATGAATATCTCGTTAGCATTCCCCTTCGAACTTTCAAGACGTGGGCATTCATGGGTATGATGGCTCAGGTAAATATGATTACATTTGTTTTGATTTGTTCTTCAACCTCCCACTTTCTTCCTAATAACTTTCATATGATTTTGTTCTCAGGTTCCTTTATCCATTTTAAGTAGATATATGGAGAAGAAGTGGGGACCAAGATTTGGTAATATTGTAGTATGGTCATCTTTGATGCTGGGACAGCCATTATGCATTATGATGTACTATCACGATTATGTGATAACACATTTTGGAGAAGAACTTCTTGACAGGTGAATACATTTTTTGTGTTCTATAAATTATTCTTACAATTAAAATTGAGAATCAGTAGTTTCAAGAAGTTTGGTCATTTCTTGAAATTATAATTTTAGAGGATTTTGAAATGATGAGAGTATAAATATTTTATTAAGAAGATAATTTATTCTTGTTGACCAAACTTTTCAGAAAAAATTGTTACTTTGAAAGCAGTAGATTACATATGCAGTCTGCATGTCGTATGATAATCAAAATTGATAGTCCAATAATACCTTCTCTGTTTCTAAAGTTTTCTATTATTGAGTAAATTTGAATCATGCATAAAAATACTGTGAATAATGTAATAAAACGTTGAATAATGTAATAATACTTCATTGTAGTTGATTCTTCAAAGGAGTAGATTGTTAAATAAGTTTTTTAAATAATTTTCTGTTAGAGTTCACATTTCATTTCTAAGTCAGAGTAATGTTATTAGTTGCTTGACATAGAAATTTGCTGCTTTTATACTGAACTTATTCCTCACCTAAAAAATTGTTCAATTGTTCAAAAGCAAGATAAATTCAATTTTTAATTACGATTCTTTTCACTTATTTATTTGAAGTAAAATACACAGCATATGTAGAAGAAATACTGTTGGTGACTCATCTTTTGTGTGTGTTGCCTACATGTGTATTTCTTTCTCTTTTATATCTTAGTTGGTTCAATTAAAACTGAGAATCTTTAAATGAAATTGGTAGAAATAATAAATAACATTATTGTGTAAACACGTAATTAAAGATGCAAGGTGGTGTTATTAGTTGAAGATTATCAATCTTGATTTCATTAAATAGAATTAATTTTTATAGCAACATATGTGAAAAAGTGGTTGGTGAGAATGGGGAATACAATGTTTTGTGACATGTTTATTCACATCATCAGGTGTACTGTAAAATATACTTTTTTTTTTAAATATTCAAATTGATCATCTTACGGTTTGATTACATTTCAAGAGTTAAGATGTCCCCATTTAAAAATCAGCATTTAAAAATTGAATAATAATTTACAATAATTAAAACTATTACTGTTATATTTTTATAAATTATTATTATTATTATTATTATTATTATTATTATTATTATTATTATTATTATTATGTTTATATTTGTTTATCTGCTTTTGTTTTGAAATGAAACGATTACTGTTGACTATTGGTCACTTTTATACATATTGTAATTTGGTCATCTCAATTCTTTTCTTTTTAAAAAGCATGACTGATATCAATTTTAGTATTTTATTAATAAATTTGTATACAATTCATCTGAAATGAGAATAATCAATTCAGAAAACAGTGTACAACTTTTCTCAATTTAGAATTTTTAATGGATGAGCAATAGAAAATTTGTATTTAAGAAAAGGAGTATTGATGAACTTGAACTGGTAAAGATCTCTTGTTTTTAATGCTAAGAATCTCGCATGATTGAGGAAGCTCGTCTTCAATTTTCTATTAAATTGTTTCATTCATTGTAGGTATGGTCAAGTCTGAAAATATGGCCCATTCACCAATAAACAATTGAAATCAGGAGCAAGACTTCCTGGATGAAGTTGCTGTTTATATAATTATAAATTTGTTTTGCTGAACTGGTTCTGACCACATAATTTGCCTTGATCTTGCCTTTTGTCTTTGCAGTTAAAAGAGCTGTTCATTATTTTTTCACATTTCAATAATGCAAAAATTTCCTTCAATGAGATTGTATACATATATTTCTGATAATTTAGTATAAGAAATTGTTACAGCAAGACTTTTATCATTATATATCATCACATACATTCCTTGTCCATCACAATGGCTATTTGCCATCTATTTTGCATTTCAGCTAGCATTTGTGCCTACCTTGTGTATTTTTGCAAATACTGTTGTAATGTATAGCATCAGTTCCCTATATATCATTGTACATAATTTGTTACATTACTATTTATATATTTACGAATGTTGTGCGTGTATATAATACTATATAACTTGGACCTCCATTTCCATGCATATACCATAATTTGTAATGCATTTTTGGATATCTAGTACTAAGTTTAATAATAGTGTATAATTCTTTGTATAGTTACTGTAAAATATTGTTCCTTCAAGAACATGAACTTAACTTGTTTTAGATAATGAGGCACTTAATAAATTCTGCTGTTTTCAGTTTAGATCAGAATTTGTGCCACGACTGAGTAAATTGACATAGACTTACTTAATAATCACCACTGACAATGTTGAGAGAGCTCTAGAAGTTTTTATACATTTTAAGAGTGTAAAATAATTTCTCTCTTGTTAGTGATTATTCATGGTTGAACACAGGTTTTTGAACCCCTTGATTCATAATGCATTTTGTGAGGAATTATAGCAAGACTTTGTGACTTGTATTCACCAAGGTTTATTAGATTTACCTTGTAAAACTTGTATTGTTGTAGCTAGGTATTGTAAGTCCATCCAGATTTGTTTTGGATATTCAATATAATCAGCTTGATATTGTACTTACGAATGAGGCCATTGTAGTACCTGAGAACCTGGCTATTTAAACCCCTGTGAATTTTGTAAGAGATTTCAAATGCTAAGTATTTTGTATTTGTTATTCATAGAAAATATATTTCTCAGAATATTAATTTAAATGTCTTCAATTTTTTCCTGCTCTCCTGTAAGTTCTATAATGCATTGCTCTTATTTCTTAAAATTTGTTAAATAAAATAAAAACAACAAAATTATTTAGGAAAAAAGCAATGATAGGACAGAAGAGGAAGCCTACTCTAATGTATATTTGTTAAAAAACTGTTTTTGACTGAAATTTCATTACTAATAATTCCTAGAATAATGAGGTAATACATAGAAATGTTATGAGTTTGGACATTTTTGCAAATTTCATGTGGGCAAACTATCTTTACAATCTACTTTGAAGATTGTTCCATCTGTTCAATGGATCTGTATATACTCAAGCAAGCAAATTTTTGTCTGACCAGTGAAAATGGAATTTATGAAAAATATTAGGAATATATATTATCAGGGAAGTAATAATTTTATGAATTGTAGAGGAAACAAATAGTGGTATTTAATAGATTGCCTTTTGGTTTCTTCCTATTTTAATGAATTCAATACCCATAGCAAAAAAAAAAAATTGTTTTATTCAATTCATCTTATTGAATTTTATCTATTTCGGGATTCTGCATGCTTTGATAATAATGAATCAACTGCATTAATACATTTTAATGAAGATTATTGAAATAAAATAATAGTAAAAAATGTTTAAATTGAAATTATCTTGTCAGGTATAAATATCCATGGAACTTTTATGGAAAATTTCTGTGCAACAGCCTATCAATATTGGCCCTGCAGGTCCTACTATATTGGCACCAAATTTAGAAAGTAATGTCACTGAATGTAATCTGGAATACAGCGCTAAATACTGTTGACTGCTCATATTTAGAGATGGTAGAGTTCAGCAACTCCTAAAAATGCTAACTTACCAAAGATGAAAATATTACTAATTGTATGTATGACAGTCAGTACAGTATATTTCTGGAGATTCTCAATCTGCTATAAAATTCAAAATCAATCACAAATTGCGAAATCACATTCAAAGTGTGAAATGGTCATGAATCTGTGATATAATACCTAAATCTAAATTGCTTTTTATGGTTGCCTTCATGTTTGATCACTAACCAACTGCTAACACTTTTTATGTTTTTTAAGCTTCTTATGCTTTTATATTTGTTGAAATTCACAAATCGTGAAATATTAAATTAGTTTTTCTGATTTAAATGGGAAATTCTAAAAAGCATCAAAATAATTTTATCTTAAGAGTCCTCCCTTAATAATAATAATTTTGTCAACAAATGCTACAAAATGCTAAACCTTAAGTTTTATAATGCTATAGTCTTAGTTTTCAAAATGTGATTTTTAAAATAAGTGCTAAATCTACTCTCACTAACTCTAGTTTTTGGTAATTTTGTATAGTAACAAAAGTCATTCAGTACCTCCATTGAACATGTTATTAATATATCCAAATCAACCCATCAGTAAAAATCAGACAATACATTTTTACATCATGCTGATATAAAAAGTACTTTATAAGATACATAAAGTCAGTTGGGCACTATGCCTAGCCTGCCACTTCTTCTTAAAAAGTTTTCAAACGTAATAATACAACATTAATGGAGGATATAAGTAGATTTACACAAAGTAATATAATAACTTTTTAAGCTGACGGAATTTGATGAAGATTCATACAATTTTGTGATCTGAAGTTTATATCTAAAAAATGTTTATTATTAAATAAAACTCATTGTTTAAGTGGTTCATAATACGAACTTTTGAATTTTTAATGTTTAACTCTATACAGGTACACTTTTCCAGAACACCTCTCACATTTTAAATTTGAAACTTTGCAGAATGTTAATTAATTATTAGATGCAAACAATTTGAGTTTAAAAAATTGCCATAATGAATCTAAGCAAGATTTGAAAAATCCTTCCACACAAATTCTTTTGTACAAAAAATGGATCACTTTGTCAGCAACAAATAAAGTATACACTTGGTACAGGAAGTGTCATGAGAAGAATTCTTGGAAGTTTTACTCAGACCCACACGGACACACGGACACAGTTTTACTCAGACCCACACGGCGGATGCGGCGCGGAAAGTTCCGCCCTAAACACGGCGACGAAATCCGCGGGACCGTTCACACCTGAGCGTCAATTATGTCTCAGCGTTTGGTGACGGTTTCCCTCATCCGATAAACAAAAGCAAGGGGAGCTCGATCCAGAGGGGAGCAAATGCTCATTTAAAGGCTCCCACAGACCGGCGCGGGAGATTCGCAGCGGGTGCGGCGCGAAACATTCCGCCCTAGACACGGTGATGAAATTCGTATGTCCGTTCCGACCGCAGCGTCAATTATGACTCAGCGTTTGGTGACAGTTTTCCTCATCCGATAAACAAAACGCGCTCGCTTCTATTCATGCACGAGATAGAAAATACCAAGCTCGTGTACGTTTTTTGAGCAGATCGGCACAGTGCTTGTATCTTCTTAGGCTACGATTTTCCATCAATTTGTTAATATTTTTTAGGAAACGAAGAAAAGGAGTCATTTTTAGATGCCACAAAGGACGAGAAAGGCTTTTATATTTACAAGAATGACCAGTAACTCTTTTAATGAGTCAGCCTCCTTCAGTGGCGCGGGCAATTCAATAGTAAATTATAATTAAAATTAAATTAATTATTTTTCATATCATTCATTAAATTTTACTCGTGGCCTGTTGTTGGTGTGAAACCTGTATATATTTCATTAATTTCAAGCAGAAATTACGCAAAAACTACAAGTTAAAAAAATTGTACATGACATTTTTTAAAGAGATAATTTTGTACAACAGACTTTATCTCTGACAAAAAATTTTATCTCCAATTTTAAAATTAAATTTCGCCCCCCCCCAATTTTTCGAAAAATCGGGAATGTCAACGAAAATGAGACTTTCGCCATTCTCTTAAACGTTCTTTATTGACAAATTTGGAACAATTTTTTTGAAAATCATCATCTGCCCCACAATAAATTCCTTAGAAAATTAACTGTCCCACTTATGAGGGTAAGATGACGAATTTGATATCAACTTATAAAGTCCCAGAAATGCAAAATAACTTACACATTCATGACTTTTTAACAAACGTATTTAAAAAGAAAACAATAAAGAATGTCCTATAATTATGATTTATAATATTAATCAAATTAATAACGCAAACATCACCATAACCCTTTACTATCGTTATCTTACCCGACTTTCTCCTATGAAAACGTTTTCTACGTCGCGATAGCATTGACAAACAGAATAATGGGAGACGACATCATAACCAATAAATCTTTACGATCCAAATATTAGTGTCGTTAGGCTATGAAGCCATTTTGAATAAACAGTGTTTTGTATACATTTTCTGTTGAAGTTCGAAACTCTTGAAGTACATACATACCTTTATTAAAAAAAGAAACATGTCAATATAAACTTCATTTGAATCTAATCTTAAATTTAAAATTTCAAAATATAGTTTTCGAGTGACAATTCACGTGCATTATTTTGCCAAGTGATACGCTATTATTATATCTATTACATCGGTGCAGCAAATCAAAAACCAAATGATAATATCTCATAGCAATATGACTTCTATCACTATCCAAAAACGATCGGAGATGATATATCAGTTCCAAACTTCCCTATTTTAATTTTGAACTCAATAACATTAGACGGCGCGACAGCTTGCGTACTCAATATGAATACGTTATGGATTCAATAGAAGGGCGCGGCATTATATTAAAATTCAGAAGGACGATTCTTTGATGGGATTCTGTCGTGGACCTGCATCAGAATGTATATAATGAAAATTCAAGATATCTGCCTGAGATCCGGGTCGATGCGATCCTAACTTTTAAATCACCGACCTCATTCTTCTGGGCGGAGCACATCTTCGCAGCGAACGTATCTTCGGCCCGCAAAGTCGCATTAGATGCAGACATTATCTAGTCTTTTTTGTTTTCAGCGTTAATTTCACAATTTTTACTTATTAAGTTACTACATATTTCATCAACAATTATGCTTCGCTTTCATAATGTATGAAGAATTATGCGATGTTCAAAAAGTTAACATTTGCGACCAGAGAAGATTCAATGTGAATACTTAATAACAAACCTCAAGAGACAGAGCAATTGTTTTCGTTATAGAAAGTTCGTTATTTGGAGAGAGAACATCGATGTAGCTACGAGATTCCGTGACATCCACCGTTTCATACATTCGTCGGTGTTATTGACTTACATTTCATATGCTGTACCTTGTCATATTTGGGCAAAATAATTTCACCATGTTAATGTGGTCAATGTATTCTAACTTACGGCAGTGTATCATAAGCCCTTGACTCTTCTTAATGACAGGAGTATAATATTTCTTCTATTATTTTTAAACCATGGCGTATTTCAAATACCTTTTAGCAGAAATGGCGTCAACATAGATAACAGAAGCCCCATTTCGTGAGTCCGAAAGCAATTGAAAAAATTATTTTCAAAGTGAAACACCTTTTACTTTCTCTTATATGTAAGTATATACGGAGTAATATACCTAGAATAGAGAAAGCTCGATTTCGAGATTTTAACGGCTATAACTATTTCGGGTCCGCTGATGCCGATGAATGCTTTTTCAAAACGTCCGTCCATCCGACTTTCTGTCTGTCCATCCGTATGGACGTTAAAAATAGGATAAGGAGGCTTTATTTATTTATTTGTTAATGTTACAATGTCTCTACTTTCCATAAAATGGTACTTTTATCTATAGTAAAGTCGGGAAGAGAATATGTGAACAGATAACACAGAATATGTATCTATGTTAAATAATATGTTAGTTGGACTTTACATAATGACACGGTATTGTTGGAATATACAGGCGTCTCATTTAACTTGACAACTCGAAATAACTCTAAAAGTACGCGATGTTCTAAACATTGGAAGCCGAGACCAAATCTTAACGTTTTTGAAGGGAATCATTCTTATTTCTCAAAATCAGGCATCCTCCTGCTCCCAGCGGGTGGGCGGCCTCAGTATGGTGGTAACATAAATCTTAAATAGGAACGCCCCATTTTTTATTTCAATTCGGATTCTACGCGGACAAAAATACATAATTTTGTCTGAAACTTTTTTCTGATTGTGATTAGTGGCTGCTGATATTTCGGCAAAAAATTTAATTTCCGAAGATTTTGATGTAATTGAGTGCTTTTGAGCGTGGTCAATTATTTTTGAATGTTAATATAAAATCAGTATTTTCTACGGAAGTTCAATTAAACTACTTTTAGCGCCGTAACCCAGGAACAACGACGACCTAGTAGTTTCTGTATCTTTCGTGTGCTTGGTTTTCCAGTGAGTCCCCTTCCTCTCACTATCGATGCGGTTTTAGATGTTCCTACCAAATACCTTACATTTATTTAAAGTAAGCTGCTTCAAAATGATGGCCCTGAACCTCAATGCATTTATTGATTGCGTCATCCAAATGAACGAACACATCGCATAAGCATATCTGGTGTAATCGCGGCACAAGCGTCTCTTATTCGATGCATCATGTTTTCACAAGTAGTAGGTGTTTTTTCATAAACGACATCTAGGTAAACCCACAAAAAGAAATCTGGTGAGGTACGGTCTGGTGATCTGGCTGGCCAATGCACTGGTCTTCTCTACCGATCCAATACATCGCATGCTACTAATGAGTAATGTGCTGGGCAACCATCATGTTGAAACCACGTGTTTTGTCGCACTTCCAAACTTACCTCTTCGAGCATTCTCGGTAGTTCTTTATCAAGAAGGTTTCGGTTGTCACCACTTACATTACCGTCAATAAAGTATGGTCCGATAAGTTTATTGCCAATTATTCCACACCAAACGTTAACCGACCAAGCTCGCTGATGATTTACTTGGAGTGTAGAATCCAGTGTGGGCTTTTTTACAATCCAAAAATGCATATTATGGCGGTTAACTTCACCGTGGTTTGTAAATGTCGATTCATCAGAGAATAATACTTGAGTAAAAAAGTTCGGATCCGTTTGTATTCTCTGAACTGCCCATTGACAAAACAGTAGTCGGTTTTGAAAGTCATTGTCAGTTAATTCCTGATGCAAGGATACATGATGCGAATGAAATTTATGTATCTTCAGTATCCTCCAAACACTCATACGAGGTATCCCTGATTGTTGAGATATTTCTCGAACACTCGCATGTGGATTATGAGCTACTGCAGCCAGTGCCGATATTTGATTATTCTCTCCAGTAGCAGAAACTCTACTTGTTCTTTTCTTCGGTTGTACACTTTCGTCAGTAGAGAATTGTTGAACAATTCTAACGAAAGAAGAACGCGATCGTACTCTGTCAGGAAAACGTTGAGCATACAAATTAACAGCAACGTCGAAATTTCTCCCAGCTTCGCCGTAAATGAAAATAATTTCAATTTTTTCTTGCACATTTATATAGTCCATGATGCAACAAGGAGGAATTCAGAAAAGGTTCAGAAAGGTAAAGTTTTAATAAAAAATTGGATCGCCTCTGAAGTACTGTAGGCACGGACCATGGAGAGACGCTAACAACAAATTGACGGGTGTGCCCTGAGGTCGCACTCAAAACAATTACACGCCAATTACAGTCGGAAATCTTTGGAAATTAAATTTTTGCGATTACAGCTCCACCTATCACAAATCAGAAGAAAAGTTTCAGACAAAACTTTAGTATTTTTGTCCTTAGAATCCGAATTTGAAATAAAAAATGGGGGTTACTATTTAAGATTTCAATGTTGCCCACCGCCCCACCCGCTGGGGGCAGGGGAGGGTGATGATTTTAGCATAGAATGATTCTCCCTTCAAAACTGTTAAGATTTGGTCTCAGCTCAATTTTTCATATATCGCGTATTTTTTTAGTTATTTCAAGTTGTCACGTTAAATGGGATACCTGTATTTCACACACCAATAAATTCCTACCCAAATTCAAAACCAACATCAAAAACTATTTTAAAAAGAAGAATTTCTCAAAAACGGCTCAAACCTTTTTCTTTAAAATTTATTTAAGGAGAGTGCTAAATGTATTGAAAAACATAACATAAACGACATTTTGATGTAATTTGTTATTTCAAAAATTACACCAATGTCCTTTTTTAAATACCTCTCATTTCATTAATATTTACATTATGAACGTTTTAACATAATTGTATTTATTGATACAAATGTTGGATGTGATTTTTTATGAACTTTCTGGAAACTCAAAGATTTAGTATGAAAATTAGCTCAAAATTGCGCATTTTCAGAAACGCTCAAACGATATTTCATCGAAAACGGTCCGAAATTGTTCAAAGAAAATTATCATAAAGAACCAGATTTTACTCTTCTACTATATTCTTAAAGTCATATTTCAATTTCTCTATGAAGTTATCGAAAAATTGAGAAACGGTGGAACAAAATTGTCAAAACCTTCTTTCTTCCGGTAATCCATATAAACTCGTTTTTATCTTCAAAACTTTATTTCAATTTACTTTTTTTTCAACTTCATGTATCTTCATTTATATCTCTCGTTCCACTTGTCCATTCAAATATGTGGTTTCCACGACAGTATACTTATTGAGATAGTTATTCACAGCAGCAATCACGGTAGAACGCGGAACATTTCAAGTCTCATCACGGGACTGTATGAACTTACAAAATCTTTTTTACATTTTTAGTTTTGCGCCGTCTGCGACTAATCTTACTTTATATTTTATAACGTTGCCATTATTCTTCTTTTTTAAGATCCAATCACTTTACAATTCGACGATTGTTCAGGTACTTCCCAAGAATCACAATTATTTATACATTTTAACTCTTTTCTATTGCTCTTGGCTATTTATTTTTGTCTACTAATGTCATTTCTTTCATATAACTTTGTGAAATAATTTCTTTTGCATTATTTGCTTCATATCTCATCACAGGTTTCAGCTCTTGATGATCTTTGAACAACTCAATTTCGTCCCATTTTGCCACAATTAGAAATTTCTTCCACTATCTACCATTTTCAAGAATTTTTTTGAGCTTCTTCTGTAAACACAGGTATTGTATTTTACTTTATCACCCTTACGAATGTAAGAAGAAACAGTATTGTATTCGTGCGCCGGAAAACGGCGAATTTTCGACAGAAAAAACTCTTATTGTGGGACCCTGGTAACGAAAAATAGGATGCATCCTGTTTTTATATATAGCAAATTACTTCCTCTTACACGTGGTGTAGACAGAATACATGTTTTGTGAGCCCTTGATACCGAAAAAGCGATTGACGGCAAAACGGCTACCTGTTAGTCGGTCTCCGGTCAACGCGGCAACCCGTCAATTATGTATTAGTTCTTCGTCATTTACTTTACCACCTAACAGTGAAACTTCGCAAGCTAAACCATGACCTTATATTTAAAAAAAATCATTTATGGATTAATTTTCTAATTTTTCGTTTTTTGCAAGTTTTGTTTTAACATAGCCACCTATGTTTTTCAGCGCATACATGCTGTTTTTACCGTCTCCCATAAATATTTCACCTCACTAATCTCTCTGCTAGCCAATACTTAACCTTCGATAATGTCAATCAATCCTATTACTTCATAGTTCTTATCATTCTATTTATTCCCATATTTTCACAGTAGCTTCATCTCTATCAATGAGTTCAGGTTCTTCTTTAAAAATAACTTCAACAATGGTTTGACTTAATTAATGACGTCATACGTATACTCCATACATTTTAATCCATATTTGTTATAATTTCAATGTTACCCAACGACTTTTCTCCGGCCACCGTTTTTTAAATAACTTTCTTTCTTCAATCAAATATAATTCTTCATGCACCGCAATGTACAGCTCACGACTTTTTTTTGTAATTTAAGGTCGCGTGAACTTGTAGATCGTTACCGACCGCAATTGCGTTTAACGGTTTAGTAACTGTAAGGATGACACGATATGATAATGCTAGGGGTGAAAGGACAAACACAATTACAACCATGCCTGAGGGGAACTCGGACCCGCGATCCTTCGGTCCCAGATTGCTAGGTCACTACTGCCTTAGCGGTCTGGGCCATCCGGACCGGCAATCACGACTTTGTGCCGTCAAACTACGTTGTATACGGCTCAATCACAAATGGTGCAGTTTATCCACACTCTCCTACCAATTTGAGTGAATAATCATTTGTCATATAAAGTCGTGAGTCTTAATTTGACATATTATAAAGTCATGAGTCTTGAAAACATACGTAGATAATGACGCGTCGGCACGCCGTTTGTCGGCGACCCACAAACGCTTGGATTCCAAGACAAGAGCGCGCGCGGACGCTGTGTGGAAATACAGCCACTTGGCGCTATTCCCTGTTTATTTAGCACATGGCTCGCACATGGTTTATTCCATTCAACTCTCACATTGCTAAGATACGTACTAGCATGTTATTATCATAATATACAATCTCAAGAAATCCAAATCACAACATAACAACAGTTTTTTTTATCAAACCTACAGAAATGTTAAGCTTTGATTACCAATAATAAAATTGAACCTTAGACTTCGTTTTACAATTTTGTTATGGCTTTTTCGAATGTTTAATTGTTTGTAGATTATTTTTGATTACTTTTTTGTTCCATTTAGTGATTGCCCTTTTTTACAAATATCTGGTGGGCTATATTGACCATAATGAGTAGTCTAGAAAAAAAATTGCACATAATTGTACATGGATCTTAAAATAAAATTGAACATAAAAATGGATTTGTTGGGATAAACTTTTCATTATAAAATGATTTCCCGCAATCCGAAACGAAGATATGTTTTACAAATGAAAGTCCGAAATTATTCGACCTCGATATTCTGAAGACCAGCCTAAATTCAATTCAAGAAAGGGACGATGAAGACAATTCAATAACGCTGCGGCCATGTTCAGTGCACTTGTAAGGGAATTTGAACTCCAAATGTTTCAACAAGTGATGAACCATTCTCTTACGAAGTTTTATTAACACGCTTTTACTTAATTTATATAATATTGCACTGAAGCGTCGTTTTATATTTTGTCTGATAAATCTAGAGAAAGATCGTAAAATTAACTAACGTATCACATCTTATTACGCTAAAAACATTAATATCATTTGAAGTACAGGTAAATTTAAGCTATTATTTAATGACTTCAAGTTCAGTTTCACATCTGTATTTTCAACTTCCGTTCTTTTGGCCATGTTAAAGGTGTTTGAGATATCGCTAAAAATATCGCTTTTAAAAAATTTAGTTGTTTGATTGTAACCTGAACTATGAAACATTAAATGTACCCTGTAAATCAACGATAGGTTCCAGACCATTAAATGAATTGTAAGTTACAGTAAATTTGAATCTACTTTTAGAAAATATTTCCAGAAAGACAAACAATGCATTACTGTACCAGTAGTCTCATTTCACATGAGATGATATTCATTTGTTAATAGATATTTCCATTTCAGGACCTTTTTAATCGCTCACGAGCGAAATAGGTATTGCAGGACCATTTTTCAGAAATACATTTTATACTCGAAGCAAAGAAACGCAGATTCTATTAGAACCAATTATCGGCATTGAAACCACAAGTAGTGTGTCGGAATTGCGCGTACGAATTAATAAATTACCGGAAGAGCACAATGTATTGTAATGTATGCAGCTACAGAAATGAGTTGGCGACCCATGCGTTCATTGCACACACGAGCGCGAGCGTACTCGCATCTTCCGCGCGAAACGAACGCCAAGTCCCAGCGGTCATAATGAAGTGATATATGAGGCGACCACTCCACTGCGGTATGCAGGTGACACGGCGATATAAATCAACGGGCCGAGTGGCGGAGAGGGAGCGATTGTGGCGCAGCGTGGGCGGCGGCGGCCGCTGGGGGAAGCGAGAGGGTGGAAGCCACAAAAGAGGGGGGGGGGCTGTAGAGGCTGGAACTCTGTGGATGGCGATGGCGGTTGGCGTGAAGAGAAAAAATGCGATGGTAGAAGCAATGGAATGTATATTACTCGTAGGTCGCAGACGGTCCAGAGCACGAGAGCTGGTTGGGAGTAGGTAACGGTGTAAGATAGAAGGGCAGGGAATAGTGGAAGTGTAAAGATAGTGGAGGTGTGAGTGGTGGTGGAAGTGGGGAGATGGCGGAGGTGTGCGGAACGGCGGTTATGGGGAGATAGCAGAGGTATGAGGATGGCGGGTGCGTGGGTATGGCGGACGTGTGGGAATGGTGCTGAAGTGTGGGGTTCGCAGAGATATGGGAATGGTGGTGATGTTGAGGGTGGTGGATGTATCCGGGATAGCGGAGGTGTTGGAGACGGTAGTAATAGCACATGTAGGGGTCGATGGAGATGTCGGGGACGATGCTATCGGAAATGTGGAAAGCGTCTGGAGTTTTTCAAATGGGCAAAGTAATTGCAAGGGAAGAAATCAGTTTCATTGACGACCTTGAGAGCATGCCGAAATATGATAATCTCTTCACCTATTTTTTTGATATTGTGATTTTATTGTGTGGACTTATTTTAATTTACATTTTTCTTTCAAGAGTTTATTAATACTGTTCGTTTTTGTGCTTGGATTTTCTCCATGGAGATTTTGGTATTAAATGTGGTAAATTATAACGCCATTTGTCATAACAGTTTGTAATGATTTATAGATATTAACTCGTTTATTCAGAAAATAACCAAGTCCTTTATTTGTGATATTAGCCGTGAGTAATAAAATAATTTTCATACTATCACCTACGTATAATTAAAATGCATAAAATAAGACAAAAAACATTTTCTTTGAATAGAAGTATTCACACGCCATCTTTAGCTACAATTATTTTGTTTCGATTTTGTTAACGGACGGCGTGCTATTAAATTCCTTAACGGAGTTAGGCCTTTATGAGATGCTTTTTCATTCCTCTGATTGCGTTACGCCGATAGTACCACGGAAATTCATTAACACAATTTCATTTTTAATATCTAGTGAAATCTTTGAAACCGTGTATTCAACTTATTAGTTCTAGTAGGGTAAGTTAACCCCTTACATTTTCCAACAGAGAACCGCGGTCATAAAAGGTAGGGAAAACCCGGCCTAGAGGGCTGCGTGAACGGCAAGCGCCCCGGGAGGGCGGTCCGCGACCGCGGTCCGCGGCCGGAGGGGGGCGGGGGGCGGCATGGAAGCGGCGCGGCGGTGGGCTCGGTGGAGCGGTGCGGTGATTGATTAATTCCAGAAATATTGCCCCAATTTTGCCGGCGGCGGCGGCGGAGGCGGAGGCGGGGGCGGAGGCGGCCGGGGGCGGCGCTGGGTCGACGGCAAATCGTCGGCCGCACAGTCACCGCTGTGCCGTCGTTATCGCGCTTCGAATCCCGTCCGCCACAGCCCGCGGCTCTTGCGCCGGCGTTCGTCTACAGCAGGGGTGGACAACCTGATTCGAGCTTGGGCCAGTACACCGATTTACAAAAAATGAAAGGCTTATAACTAAGGGGCGGATTTTGCTGACCTAAAGTTACCAAAGATGTTCAATAAAATGCTCTTAAAATGCATTAAAAATGCCCTCAAAACAAAGAAAAATGACGTAAAAAAATTGATCAAAACCACTTCAGATGAAAACCTCAAGCTGTTGGAAATATTACTGATGCAATCGAGACTTCTTCCTTTTGTTCCAGTGAACTCACTTTGTAAACATTGTGCTTGGATTGTTCTTTAAAAGAAAATGCGCGTTCTTTAAAAGAATCTGCGTTTATTTATCGCGAAATCGTCCGAACTGACAATGACGCCGATAAACGCTATAAGAACCTTTGATTTCATAGTACTCACAACGGCACACATTACAATATATAAGCGAGGAAAGAAAATGCTTCTCAAGAATTCTGTGGTGAACTTGTGTTGTACCTCGTAAATATTAATAACATTAAAATGAGCTTGAAATCGATGAAATCAGCAAAATATGCAGTAAAAATGACGTCAGAAGGTAAAAAAATGACTTATTAGTCGAAATCGACAAAAAATGAAAATAAAATGACATATAAAAATGGGTCATTTTGTTTCGTCATAACATAAAATAAATTTTTCTACTAAACAGCATTGTTCCAAAGTGAAAAGAAAAAATGTCAGTTCATTAAAATCCACCCATACTTATAACTACATTTATATTAATGACTATCTTGATTGACTCATGTTTCTGGGCACGCCAACTGGTATGGTCATTAGTCCCATTATTGTATTAAATGTTTTATTCTAAGAGATATCGGTATATTTCCCGCATTGGATGATGAGATTTGGCGTCTACCTACATATCGGCTTGCGGAAGAATTCCTTTTTCAGGTATCTCCTCGGTAGGCCCTGCCCGGACAAGCTATAACTCTCAGCTGGACTCCCGACATGTGTGGTAATGTGTAAGTGTAAGTGTGCGTAAGTAAGGGGAGCGATGAGAACAAGGAAGATGAAGGAACGATTGCGCGCGATTCGTGGCACTTTTATTAAGGTACTACTCCGGCATTCGCCTGGATTGATCGGAGAAACTATGGACAACTGCGGATCATCGCTGCCAGCCTCTAGAATGCTCCTCCAGAGAGCGACCTCGCTAGTGCCGAAAATCCGCCACCGTCAGGACTCGAGACGACAATATTTTAAAGTTAACGACAGAATTATATAAATATTAGCAATGTATTCAGGTAAGGAAATGATTGGTTGTTGTTTGTGAACAAGTACACATTGTGTGTTCGTTGGAATTACCTTTACAGGTTGTATTTTTTTAGAAACTGCTACTATCGTTGAACACACCAAACAAATCGGTTTCGAAGCACTTCCCATGGTAAAGAGAAACTGTTCTTCCCATTCTTCGTTAAATGAACGGACAACCACTTCACTTTCACTTTTTCTCTTTGACCAACTATGCTTGCTTAAAGGAATTGTAACCACATTGAAACCTTGTGAAAGAGCACCCTTATTAAATGACCACCCCTCTCAATGACCGAGTTTTCTTGGAACGTACTCTGAAACCCATATATTGTAAGCAAATTATACCCCTGTAAACAGGCAACCACTCTCCTCGTCCTCCGAGTAGCCTCTTAACAGCAATTTCCTGAATTGATCTTTTTAAGAGTCCACTTTCAGGAAAATTGTAGGCACACAGTACATTGAATTTTCAGTTGGCGACGTTGTGAAAAGCATACGCACGAAATGTTCTGTGCCTCAGGCACACGAGGAAATCGGAAGTTGTAAGCAAGTAACAATGATGTGGTATCACCTCTCCCCGATCCATTTCAGTTTCATTTCTTCTAATGAGATGGTGGATATGAAAGTTTTCTAACGTTTAATTCTTTGAATTATGAGAGACTTCCTTACTTTACCATCTTGACAAGAGAAGAACATCTTATGCGGTGGAAGTCAGGGATATCAGCTTGCCCCGAAACACGCGAGTTTTGGGGTTACATCCGGAATATGAGCTCAGCGCTCACCCAAGACCCTAGTTTGATGTTTTTTGGGTTGTTTTGTGAAGACGTGTGAGAAGAGCAAAGTTTGAGCTCGTTAGATATTGAATACGCGGTGCATACCGAAATGACAAGTGGTGTCTACACAAGAAAGTAGATGTTCTTTACCGGTACACAACTATTGAGAGTTTGAATATGAAAGTGATTTAAAGAGAATCATACTTATTTTTTTTAAATGCATTTAAAATGATAGAAAATAATTCTAA